TGACAGCTGCGGGAGCGCGGAGGGGCCGGGGAGCGGGCGGGAGGGGGCTCGCCGAGTAACTTTCCAGAAAAACAGCCAACGTGTAGCCGGAGTGACTCCAAGAGGGGAAAAAAAGTTCAGTTACCACGTCGAACGGGAGGGCTCGCAAAGTATTTTTCAAACGGGCTCGGCTTTTCCTGTGCCTGTTTAAAACATTAAAAATCGTGCAAGCAAAAGAGGCTGCGTGCGCTGGTCCCTCCCTCCCTCCCCCACCCCAGGCCCGAGACGTCATGGGAGGGAGGTATAAAATTTCAGCAGGGAAATAGAGAAAGCAGTGTGTGTGCATGTGTGTGTGTGAGAGAGAGAGAGAGGGAGAGGGAGAGCAGCGAGAGGGAGAGAGAGAAGTGAGAGAAAGGGAGGGAAGCAGAGAGCCAAGTTCAAGGGAAGGAGCGAGAGAGGCAAGAGCTAGGAGAAGACACGCAAGGGAACGAAGGAATAACCGCTTTCCGCTTTCCGGAGAAGACTGCAGTGAACTGGCTTCTATTTTCTTTTCCTTTTGGTTTTTTAAGGGAGAAGCAAGGGACAGAAGCCATGGCCGAGGGAGAAGACAAGCTGAGGCGCTGGTGACCGTGGGCGTTCAAGTGGATTATTGGGGCCCTTCTCCAGAGGCCTGGCCTGCCTGCTTTCCAGTTGCACATAACCCACATCCCAGCCAATGAAGACGAGAGGCAGCGTGAACAAAGTCATTTAGAAACCCCCGAGGAAGTGTAAACAAAAGGGAAAGCATGAATGGAGTGCCCGAGAGACAAGTGTGTCCTGTACTGCCCCAACCTTTAGCCAGGCCAGCCGCTGCCCAGACCTGCCTCTTCCCACCTACTCACTGGTGATCTGATTTTTTTGAAACATTTTTTTCCTTTTCTTTTCCATTCTCTTTTCTTATTGTCCTTCAGGGCAAGGCAAGGATTTCCATTTTGGGACCCAGCCATGGTCCTTCTGCGCCTTCTTTAAAATACCCACTTTCTCCCCATCGCCAAGCGGCATTTGGCAATATCAGATATCCGCTCTATTTATTTTTACCTAAGGAAAAACTCCAGCTCCCTTCCCACTCCCAGCTGCCTGGCCACCCCTCCCAGCCCTCTGCTTGCCCTCCACCTGGGCTGCTGGGAGTCAGAGCCCAGCAAAACCTGTTTAGACACATGGACGAGAATCCCCGCGCTACAAGGCACACAGTCTGCTTCTTCCTCAGGGCTGCCAGCGCTTCCTGGAAGTCCTGAAGCTCTCACAGTGCAGTGAGTTCATGCACCCTGTTGCCAAGCCTCAGTCTTTGGGATCTGGGGAGGCTGCCTGGTTTTTCTCCCTCTTTCTGCACGTCTGCAGGGGTCTCCTCCTCGCCAGGCCTCACCAGCCCCCTGGCCTCTTTCCCCAGTTTGCAAATGAAGATGCACTTGCAAAGGGCTCTGGTGGTCCTGGCCCTGCTGAACTTTGCCACGGTCAGCCTCTCTCTGTCCACTTGCACCACCTTGGACTTTGGCCACATCAAGAAGAAGAGGGTGGAAGCCATTAGGGGACAGATCTTGAGCAAGCTCAGGCTCACCAGCCCCCCTGAGCCATCAGTGATGACCCACGTCCCCTATCAAGTCTTGGCCCTGTATAACAGCACCCGGGAGCTGCTGGAAGAGATGCAGGGGGAAAAGGAGGAAGGCTGCACTCAGGAAAACACCGAATCAGAATACTATGCCAAAGAGATCCATAAGTTCGACATGATCCAGGGTCTGGCGGAGCACAGTAAGTCCAAATGCTCACAGGGTGCCTACTTTGGAGGGGGAGGACTGGACGAGGGAGCTCTGGGAGGAGACCTGACAGTGGCCACA